CAAGATAGTATCATGCACTATTTCATTTGTTTGGTTTTTCTCAAGTTCTAAGGAAGTAATTAGATAAAATTATTGTCTTTTGTAAAATTATTTGGTTGAACTTCTTGTGATGTTGGTATTATTATCCTCATTTTGCTCTGAGGAAACTGAGGCATAGAGAAATTAATCAGTTTAATCAACAGGTTCTTCTGTATAAAGAGTCACCTTATTAATGCCTTAAACAAGATATTAATAGAATTTATTTTATTCATTTATTTTCATAGGTGATAGTATGGAGATAGGTGGCTCAGGGCTGATAGTTGTGAAAATAAATAAAATTTAAAAGCTATTGGAACCCCCAAAACCACAGTTTAAGCCTTGAGAGAGATGTGACTGTGATCTGAGTCACACATATGGTTACAAAGTCTGTTCTCAGATTATAGATTAACTTGCTTTTTAAATTTTTCTTGTTCTGTACAATGACTAGAAAGAATCAGATGACATCAGGGACAAAACCTCCTCTCTTCTTAATTAATGACCCTTGTTATAGATGAACTTCCCCTTTGTTGTCCTGCTTTGCTTAGACCACATGACAAAAAACCCATGATTATTACATCCTCTGCAAAAAAAAAAAAAAAAAAAAATGTTATATGTACCCTTCCCAAAGAGGAACACTGCCTATAACCAAATTGCTGTAACTGTGCCAACCCTGCATGAAAAATATTGTAATCCCGCTAAAACCTCTTTTATCTTTGCCCATATGAATGAAATCTTCCCTGAATTCAGAATGCTGAGTTTATTCCTTGGGAGATAGTGTTTCCGGGTGGTCCATCCTCGCACTTTGTGCTTGAATAAACTCTCTCTTTATATTAGATTCTGATCTTTTGGTTATTTTAGGTTGACACAGGGAACTTCTGCCATCCTCAGGTGGTGTCCATTTCTGGATTCAATAGAGTTGCTTCAGCTACCATTTGCACGTTCTCATGGCAGCCCAGAGGGAAGAAAAGAAAAGCATGGGAACACACGCCCTTATTTAAAGGGTGTTACCTGTACATCACACACTTCCTCCACTCATAGCCTATTGGCCAAAATTCGGTTATATAGCCACACTCACATCCAAGGGAAACTGGGAAATGGAGTCTTTACTTTAGGTGACTAGTACCTTGATGAAATTTGGGGTCTCTATTATTAATACTAAAGGAAAAAAGAGAGAATGGACATTGGAACTGCTAGCAACAGTCCTGTACTCGATCACAGCATGTCTGAGATTCTGACAAAGGTCTGTGAACTCCAAGCTATCCTGCCCTTGCCACCTAACTGGACTGCAACAGTTTGTCCCTCAAACTGTTGGGACTGAATGAGATACATTCCCAACATAATTTAATTCCTAGATGTCTCTTCAAATCTGTGTGTGTCTGTGTGTGTGTCTGTGTGTGTGTGCATCTTTTTGTTAGAAAATAAAATAATTTAACTCAATGTATTTCTTTTTCTTGCTGAAGCTAGCAGAAAACCTGAGCTAAATTTAGAGATATTGCTATTGTTGGTGAAAAAATTTCCAAAGCCTATTTTAATCCTTCCTCCACTGACTTACTGAAGAGTTTCTTTCTTACTTTCTTACCTTCTTACCTTCTTTTCTGCTCCCTCCATTCCTCTTTCTCTCCTCCTCAACCCTCTTAGTCTTTGTCTCTCTCAATCTCTTCTATCTTCATAGCTGTGGTGCCCTGCTGTGCTGTTTCCTCTCCACACCCCACTGCCCCCATTTTGACAAAGAATAAGCCAAGTGGGGGATGGAGGTGGGGTGGGAGGGAGGAGGAGGACAAGACGTGAGTCAAAATATCCCTCTCTCACTTTCATTTTTTAAAACTTTTATTATTAGTTTTTATTACACAAGTAATACATGTTCAGTGTAGAAAAATTAGAAAACACAGAAAAGCAAAAAGAAAAAAATAATCATCCATAATCCCACTACCCATAGATAACTACTATTAACATTTTAGTGTATGTCCTTCTAGCTTTCTTATGCATATATATATACATACATAGATATATTTATATATAATTTTCTTTTTTACAAATATTGTGTCATACTATACATAATGTTTTGTAACATGTGTTTTTCATTTAATATATATTGTGAACATCATTGTTTATTCCCTGAAAAAATTATACAGATACTACATGCTCATTGTGGAAAAATTAGAAATTACAGATATGCAGAAAGAAAATATAATTGCTCCAAATCTCACCTCCCAGAGATAAATGCTGTTAACACTTTGGCAAGTATCCTTTCAGACTCTTTGATGCACACATGCATACATATATTTTTAAAAAGCGTTCATACTATAGATATTCCTCTGTAACTTCATTTTTTTACATTTAACAATATAGCTTGTACATTTCAATAAATACACATAGGGTGCTTATTCTTAATTGGTGCACAGTATTCCATTGAAAGGATGTACCATATTTAACCAACTGTATAATGCAGGCTTATTTACATTTTTCCTCTCCTCTAAATAATGCAGCTATTAACATCCTTTCTTGCATATACCTTTGAATGATGAATGAATGCATCTTAGCTCATTTTGTTTCTGACCCTTTTAAAGGATAATTCCCCTAACGTGGAATTATTGGGGCATGCAGAAAAAATAAATTGCCAAAATATTTTTCAGAAGGGTGGAATCAATATATACCCCTATTGACTTTGTAAGAGAATGTTCATTTCCATACTTCCTTTTTGTCCTGGGGAACTTTAATTCTTTATACTCTTTGCCTTCCTGGTATGTATAGATGAGTTTACAATATTAATTTGCATTTTTGATTAATAGTATATTCTAATACTTTCATATTTATTATTAGTGGATTATTTTAGTTTATGGTACATTGTCAGTTTGTGGCCTAGCCTCAATTTTCTGTTGGAAAGTTTGAGTCTTCTTGAGTCATAAAATGGAATTTATTCATTATTCACTCATTCGATAAATATGCTTTCAGTATTTGCTTTGTGTCTAGCACTGTGCTAGGTGTTGTAGATACAACAGTAAGCACAATAGTCATGGTTGCTGCCTTCTTGTACTTCCAGTTTAGTGAGGATAAACAGACAATTAAACAAGCAATAATGAAAAAATTCAACAGGGAAAGAATGCAATGGAAACACTTAGCTGGGAAGGGGGTTGTAGATCATGGAAACTTCCTCAAAGTAGTGGTGTTTAAGTTCTTGCTATATATTTGAGACCTATAATCTTTCTAGCATATATTACAAATATTGTTTTCTCTTAATTTGGTTTGTAATTTTTTACTGTATAGGAGTTTTACATTTTTAGTTAGTCAAATCCATCCATCTTTTCTTTCTGGTTTCTTCCTTTGGTGTCACTGTTAGAAAGGCTTTTTAACATTTTTACACTAAAATTACATAAATATTCATCCATATTGCCTGCTAGTTCTTTTGTATGTTTGTTTATATGCTTTAGCATTGAAATCTTTACTTCATCTAGAATTTATTTTGAGGAAAATTGTGAGGTTTAGATCTAATCATTCTCCCCCAAAATGTCTAACCAGCTATCCCAATAAACTTTGCTTAATAATCCAACTTTTCTCATAGATTTGAAATGTCATTTTTATAGTGTACTCAATTCTTTTATGTTCTTGGGTCTATTATGGACTGTGTAGTTAATTTTAATGATTTATTCTGAGGCCAATAGTATCATTGCTTTTTTTCATCCTACCCATTGTTACCTGAAATTGACCATTTTGCATTTGGTGACATTCTAGAACACAAAGAAATGGTAGGCATTGCTTGGGTATGTGTGTGTGGGATAGGAAGTTAGGCTGGATGATCAATATTGAGCTTTTCAGAGCCTGAAATTCCAGATGGGATCATTGTTAACCTGGCCCATTCGTTTACTTTCTAAAATAAATTAGATGCTTTTATACTTTCGGTGTCTTCCTGCCCCCTTACTCTGAAGCTCAGCTTTCAGCAGGTGGCAGTATTGCCAAACACTGAGTATCCCGTCTGTTTTTACAGGAGCACAGAGAAACAAAATGGTCTGGCATGATTTAAGAATTTCCCCCAGGAGCTTTAATTTGTCAGAGGAGGCATCAAGGCTGTGCTACTTCTAAAGTTTTCTTTGTACCCCTGAATAATGGCACGACCAGAAGTTTGCAGTGAGTCTGTTCCTAGATGTACGCAAAACATTAGTGGACAGATTTCTTTTTAAAGTGACACCTTGGCCTTGTGGATATTTCTTCACCTATCTTATCCAAAAGCACCTTTGGACCCAGCCCCTGACTGATTTAAAGCCCAGAAATGCAGTTTTAAACTATGTGATTGTAATGGAATTCAGGTGAGTTTTATTTCTATTTAGTGGTATTTTTCAGCTTTGCCACAAAGAACATGTATTTTCTTTGTAATCTCCAAAAAAATCAACACAGGATATTAGAAATATGGTGATAAAATGGGAGAGTATGTGCCACAAAGTTTACATACTTTCTGTTTCAAGCATGTGGGGACATGTGGACTCACTAACTTGATTTATTGAATCCATTTGGTTGCCCACGTGAGTAACGAATGGGTTCAATATTCTTTTCGTACACCTAGCGATCAGCTTGGTGTTATTGCTAATCTGGAAGCGAATTACCAGCAGGAAGCCAAGATAGTAGAACGTCATGTCATGGAACCACACCTGAGAAAGTCCTTTGGTAAGTGAGAGGAGAGTGGGGCAACTCGTGAACAATGCATTGGCATATCTAATGGGAGATGGTGAATAACCTACCGCAATCTTGAGCCAGTGGAGGTCACCAGGACTGTAAAGCACTAAATTTAATTTTAAGACATGCTACTGAAAGAAGATCTATAAATCTTGGAGTATGTCCACGGGAACTACAAAACTGATCGAAGGCTGGAAAACAGGCACTATGAATAAAAGATAAGGTGGCTGAATATATTACCTTAGATATGGAAAGTCTGGCTAGGTAATTAGACAAATTCCCATCTCCATGAATAGCTACTACAGGCTTCCCAGACATGGAGGTGAGACTTGAATTTATTAACAGTCTTCAGTTGTACAAAGGACAATTGCACATAAGGTAAGTGTTACTTTCACGCTGAGACTAAGGCGAGAGTGAGCACAATTAACCAAGCAGAAGTGATTTAGGTCAGGCATCAGAAGAACATGCTGAACACCAAGGTTGGGCGTATTAGTTAATAATTTTGCATGGATTAGTAGAAACTAGATTGAAGCTAGAGTTGAAGTGTGGGAAAAGGCAGACATGGAAGCTGAGAGCTGCCAAACTGGGCTACTTCATAATTTCTAAAACAATGAACCTTAAATCTCCTTAGGGGTTGAAAATGAACTGGACTCAGGAAAGGATATCAAGCTTTAATCAAACTTGATTTTTGAAAACCATATTCCCACAATTGTTTTACAAGTATTTGATTTAGCAAATTATGATTTTTTTCTCATATCATTTTTCAAGGGTTCTTCTTTTTGTGAAGCCAGGCATACCTATAACCATGCACTAATGAATGGTTCATTGGAACACAAGTCTGGACTCCGATAATAAGGCCAACAACCAGCTGGCATAATCTAAATAGAGACCTGCATAGCTTTTGAGATCTCTTCCAACCCTTTCATTCTTTCACTTTCAGTCAAAAGGGCTAGAAGACAATTCCAAGTATAATTTCCACAGCATCAGATATCAGGTTGAACTATATGAAACTGCCATTTTGTAGGTCAAAACAGTCAAATAATCAGCAATTTCATGTAATTCAACCTAAAACAATAATTATTCCAATAGTTCATCTGTACCTCTCTTCATCTTCACTGAAGCTAAAGGCTTTAACAGGTTTAGTTTTTAGGTCAAATTATTGGTATATATAGAAATGCCTGTGCCCATAAATATTGAGAAAGTGCAGGGTTGGAACAAAGGATGTGTCTTAGATAGACCACTTATAGGCATCTAGCTCATCCTTCTGTTGTACTAGGCACTAGTGCCTCCTGTCTTACTCAAAGATTTTTCAGACTATGGAAAACAAGAAAAAAAGTGCAAAGACTTGATCTCTCAACCCATGGGAAATTCTGTCTGGGAAATGGGCCAAAGGAAGAACAGGGGAAAATATAACAAAATTTATACCATGTTACAAGTTTAGTGAAGGAAGATCACAACAAAGCTGTGAGCAGAAAAACAAAGCATGTGGTTTCCTCTTTTCTAAAATACAGTATTGCTTAATGTGTCCTGCTTTCAAGATTCTAAGCATAAGACAAGACACTAAGTACACATTGGAAAAGTCATATCTGCATAGTCATCTAAAATGAGACAAGCTTAGCTTAACTAAAAAAATTTTATTAACAATGTAAAATGTTAAATATTTTTACGATCTGAGCTAATTCCAGCATGCCCTATAAGATTTAACACTATGCTGATGTGCAGACACCATGCTTCAGATTTCAATTAGAACAAAATGTGATAATATTCAATTTTACATTTGAGGGTAATTGTATATGTTACTACACCATTTCCTAACTGGATTACTTCATTCTCCAAGAAGCTGAAAAAGACACCATTGGATCAAAAGGAAATTAGTTGCCCATATGCATTATACGAAGGTGTTAGGATTATTATATATTTACAAAATTTAAGTACTTTTCATAGGTGGTGTTTGTTGCATTATAAATTAAGATATTTTTATGGCAAAGCGCTTAGATTCTGACAGAATGGAAGACTAAATGTAAATGAATGCAGAGAAAGCAATAGGTAAGGTGGTATATGTTTGCTTATAATATTATTTCTAATGATATTGATAGATTGGATTTTTGAACAAAGTTTTGTAATTTTAAATAGATTTCTATGCTTAAAGACTTCTTTCATATATGATAAATTGTTAACATGAGATCAGTAAGAGCTATAGATATACTATTATACATGAAATAATTTTTCTCTGTATAATACATTTAAAAAAACCTTTAAATAATTTAAAAATCATAATTCTTGCATCTGTCACGGCCTGGTTTGGAGCAGACATGCGCAATGTCAGCTTTAAAAATTCTTTTTAAAAACAGCCTGCTTTTTTAATCTTTTTTTTTTTTTCCCTTGATGGCAGCTGCTTTCAAGTGTAAAATCATTTAAAAGGTCAGGGGGAAGCAGGTAAAATAAGGAAGCATAGAAAACATAGTCAAAAACCAATAAATGTGTGGTTCAGCTGTCTGGAGGTCCTCAGGTTTTGTGATTTTTTTTTTTTTTCTGGTGTTCCCAGTGGGTTTCCAGGAGGAGCCGCCTAGCTTGAGACGAGACAACATAGCCCAAAGAACCTTCTCTTCCGTCTTCTAACCAGGGGGTAGGGAGTTAGATTCAGAAGGCTGCTGTCATCTGTGGTGGGACAGAATGTATAGATGAGCGAGGTACAGACAAAACCTGCTTTTTACTAAGTAGCTTTAAACATCCACTGTTGTTTGAATCAAGGTTTTTCAACCTCAGCACTGATGACATTTTGGAACAAATAATTCTTTGTTGTTGGGGGCTGTCCTGAGCGTTGCAGGATGTTTAGCAATATTCCTCTACTCAGTAGATGCCTCTACTCACCAGATGCCAGTTCTATGCCCCCAGCAGTTGTGACAACCAAAATTGTCCCCAGATATGGCCAAATATTCCCTGGTACCAAATAGCCCAAAGCTAAGGACCACTTCTTAGAATTAAATTGAAACTGCTAGAGGCAATCTTTCATTTGGAAGAAGACAATAGTGTTTATTAGAATGAGCCCATGCTTTGGAGTAAGGTTGGCTTCTTTTCTAAACTTGCTTCTACTTTAGTTTACTAGTTTCGTTACTTTGAACATGTAACTTATGCTCGCTAGGCTTCAGTTTCTCTGTCAGTAAAACAGGGTTTAATAATACTTACCTTAGGTGAGGATTAAATGATCTAAGAAAAATATTTAGCTTGGGTGGGTAGCTTAGTGCCTAGCATAGAGGAAGCACGCAGTTAATATAGCTATTATTGACTATTTTCCTTTACATAGGACCATTATCTTGGCTCCATGCACCTACTTCCCAACTTAAGAAGAAGTTTCAATGATTTCCTGTTGTCTTTTCCCAGCACTTTCTATAGATATCTGTATATAAGAGCATTCAGAGATGATTGCCAACTATTAAATTCATAATTTGTGGGTTGAAATTTTTAGCATGATGACAAGTAGAGGAAGAAATAAACTAGTAAAGAAAATCTAGTTTAATGAGTCGGATTTTTAAAGAAAAAAGCCAGAGGAGATGGTGGGTAGAAATACCCTGTTGAAGAAGAACTGGCCAGTGTGGTCCCAGAGGTGAAGGACAACAAGGGAATAACCTAGAAATTGCCAACTGGGGCAGTGCTGGGACATGGCCAGACTGGAGCCAGGGGTGACAAAATGGCTGGTTGGCACTGGCAACTGTTATGTACCTAACCTCTTGCAGGACTAGTTACACTCCCCTTAAAGGGGATGGAAACTTGCGAAGGGCACAGAATCTGAAGTCAGATGGAGAGATTGATATAGTGTAGAATGTGCCCCACCTTGATAGAACTGGTTTGTAGATGAGGGTTTGCTTTTCTTGATTACTGAAGCTGAATGCTCAGGAAACTATCAAGAACAATAATAAATCCTGGCTCTCTGGTCCTCTTACATAAAGTGTCATCCAAGTGCCTGGGCTTTTCCTCCCCTTACCAAAGGCTCTAATGTGTCATACTTATTTGTAAATTAGTATCACCCACCAAGGTTGACAGTGTTCCTTGGAACATTTGCATGTTGTTATATATTTACATAGAACGAGAGTAGCAAGTCCAAGCCAGAGAAGAAAACAGGTGTCCCAGCTGGGCACATGAAATGAATCAAACACAGCCTACTCTCCCAGTCTCCATAGATTAAAATCTTCCCTTAACGCTCAAATTCTGTTAACATGGAGAAAAACAGGCCTATTATTGTCCCTTTCACAGTGAAAAAATAATTTACTATAATCTGATGTTAGCATTTTGGGAGTCAAAAATAGAACATTATTCTTTTATAGTTAAGACACTGAAAGCAATATCAGATGCTAAACATTAGCCTCTTTTTTCAGGATAGTCTCTCAAAGATGAATCATATTTGGAAAAGCAAGAAATGATAACCTACTTTCACACCATTTTTAGGAATATTACTTCTTTAACCATGAAATGATCAATGAGCTTAGCCCAACTGGATATGGCAAAGATATAGCAGAGTCTGTAGGTTAGAGAATTTTACCTTTCAGTATCTCTCTGAATACTGACTATACTTACTGAAACTCAGGTTCATCTGGAATTCAATGCTTCCCTGAAACAGTCACCAAAACTATGAAGATATTTATGGGGAAGAAAGATTTTCATAGTTCTATTTCTTTAAGACCTGGAAGATCTATTTCCTAAATTCCTATATTTCCTTCCCTTTCCCCAAACACTTAACAGATTTGGGAAGGGACCTAACTTTTCTTTATATATTATAAAATGCAGTTCTGATGTGTATTATCCCTACTACCTGATGAAGTGTCTACCACAATGTTTTATTTGTAAAGGAAAATGTGTATATGCATGCTATAGTCATATGTTTAGTACTGCTCTTGTTTTTGTATATATTAAAAGCAAACAGGTATTATACACAGATATTATGAGGTTTGTATCAAGACTGACCCTTATATCTGTGCATTCATTACAGTGAATCAAAAAATCTTTCAATAGCACAGCGTTTTATGCTTGAAATTCTCATTGCTCAGTCTTCTTTGCATATATGTATGTATACACATATAAATACATAGCATATATACACATGCACACATACATATACAATATACATGTATGTGTGTACCATACACACACACACACACACACACACATATATATTGCTCACAAGTGAATAGAAGTGTTAAGATTGATGAGAAAGTGCTCAGACATTAAGCGAAGGGCAGGCTCCCTATTAAGGCCAACTGCTGGTTTGGGGCATCTTTTTTGCACATTTGTGACACCTTTGCCTAGTCCAGAGCTTGTGTGACTATCACGTTGGGCTGAGGTGACACAAAAGCTTGAAAATTCTTGGCAGAAATTCAGAACAGCTTTCTACACCACAGGAAGTAGACACCTACAGTAAGTGCTGAAATTCTCCAAGTGTAAGTATGCCTGGCATGGCTTGAAGTGAATTTAACTCCGTGGAGAGAGAGCTTTCCACATTGATGGGAATCCTGCTTCTGAAGGATTCCAATCAATGCTTAATTGCAAGAATGTGAGCAAAATGGAAGGTTTTTCCCACTCATTCTAAATTTTCTGAGATAATCCACTTGAACTTATTGGGAAATATTTGATTTTTATTTCAAATGTTTCAATGTGGCTAATTCTTTTATAGTATCTTTTCTCCAAAATGCACAATCTCAGTAAACTATAAGCAAGGAGAGATTTAAATGTGGAAATGAAAAGTGGGAAAGGAAAGGAGAGGAAGGAAAGTATAGGAGAAAGTGAAAGAAAAGAGAGTAGGAAATTTAGCCACTAAGAAGTTCAAACCTCAGTCATTCAGTGTTTAATTCTTAGATGCTACTAAAGCTAGGGTTGCTGGAATCCCTTAAGACACAATGATACCACTTCCCTATTGCTCAGATTTCTTTTGCTAATAAAAGATTTCTTATATAGATGACATATTGAGAAAAGAGGCACATGAAAATTTTCAAATAGTAAACTGAGTTTAGAGCTGTGGTCTGAGATACAGTCAAGAGAAGTGCTTATAATGGGACTGTAATTGCAAATTTGTATTGTTCGAGAAATTTGTATTGTTCTTCGAAAAAAAGAGAGAGAGAAAGAGAGCGAGTAATTCACCTAACCCAGTGGTTCTCGAACATTAGCTGCACCAGCATCATCTGAGGGCTTGTTACAGCACAGATTGCTGGCCCCACCTCCAGAGTTTCTGAATCAGTAGGTCTGGGGTGGGGTCAGATAATCAGCATTTCAATCATTCTGTTCCTCTACTGCCCCTCCTCTGATCTCCCTGACTTAGTGACTGACACCATTCTTGACTCCATTTTCTAAGTCTGAACCTGGGTTTCAGATGCACCACATCTGATTGTTCATATCCCTCCCTCCAATCCCCTGGCTTTAGGCGAGACCTTCAGCATTTCTCACCTGGATTACTGCATTTGCTTCCTAACTGGATCCTTCCAGTGGCTCCTGGATGCTCAAACCTCTTTAGATGGCTTATAGGGGCATTAATGATGTAGCCCACCTACCTGTCTTGTCTCTCCCTTAAGCTTCTTGTCTAACAACTTTCCCAACTACTGAAGTGCTTGTAGTTTATCAAAATGCTCTGCTCTTTCATGTCCCCATATGCCTTTAAATGTCAAAAGTCTTATAACTAGACTGTCTTTTTACCATCTTTTTCTTTGGCTAACTCCTACTCATTCCCAAAAATTTCAGCACAGATACTTTTTAAAAAGCAGTCCTTAATAATCCCCCATTTCAACTCAAGTCTAGGCTAGGTGAGAATCCAATATGCCCTTGCAGTAATCTGTATCTGTTATAGCATTATTATATTTTAAGAACTAATTCCTGTGTCTTTCCAATAACGTGTGTGTGCATGTGTGTGTGTGTGTGTGTGTGCATGCGTATTAGCATGTGTGATAGTATTTTTCATAATTCACAGGCCCTACCCTGAAGGCTCCACCACAATCTCTGCCAGGGAAAGCATGTATCATTTGGAAAAGCTTCCCAGGTGATTCTCACCCAATTTTGCCCTGCTGAGAAAGGACAGCCTAAAGAGGGGAGAGATATCCCCAGCACCTAGCACAGAGATTGGCACATCATGGGTGACCATTACATGTTGGATGATGATGGGGACAATGAATACTAGGGTGAGAAGTCTGCTCTTCCTTCAGTAGATAATGAGTAGACATTTCACATTTGTGAGTAGAGGCTCAACATAATAGAGTAATGAGTTAAGAAATTAGATTGGAGGAGAGAGAAGGAATACATATATGTCACAATGAATCCTGGACAAAAGGTTGCAGAGATTACAAAGGATATGAGGCCATGAGTAAAACTGCAGAATAACCGTCAGACACCAACCCGGAAGCACAAATTCTTTATGAGGCCCTTGGGAAAGAACCTAAAAGGTCATCTCTAGGCCACAGGGTGCATAACTGCTCAGTGTTCTTCAGCCAGATATCTGAGAACTCTTCTGCCTGACTCCCCTGCCAGGTTGGTTCTGGACATGGGGGTCCAGATTGGAGGAGCAGGGGGGTGCGTCTGGGAGAACTGTTTGTAGGTTCAATTTAGCCTGGAGCAGTATTGTCCACAGGGGGGACAAAGTGCATTCTAGCAGAGATTCAATTCCTAACTTACTTCCAGACTGATTCTAATGCATGTGCTCAACAACCGAATTCTATGCAAAAGTGAATGCATTAAATACCAACACATCCCACAGAGTTCATTAAGTCAGAATTTTGGAAAAGGTGAAGCTATCTTTCAGGCTTAACTAATTTCTGTTGATTTGTTTTGTTTGACAACAGCATGCGTTCAGAAGAGGCTTGTCCTTCACTTTCCAGTCTCCTTTTAGTCTTTGTCAGTCACCTTGAGGGCTCTCCACAGGTGGTTCCATTTGTAATCCATTTGACACAGCAAGACCATCATAATTAATGAAGCTCCTTACAGCTCTGCCAGTGACCCAGAATGTAGGACAGGAGGGGCACTGACACAGTGGAGGGAACAGCAGGCTGAGAGCCAGGAGACCTGGCCATTGTCCGGAGCCAGCTGTGGAACTCAGTGGCACACGGGTGGCCTCCTCTTTTGTGCCAGTCTCTTTGCCTCCACTCTCAAACTGGAAGGGTGGGAAAGGAAGGACCCTGTCTAAAATGAAGGCATAATCAATAACCATTAAACATTCTGCCCATGGCCATCTTCCCTTCTTCTCTACTTGAAATTGATTTAAAGTGAACTGTTTTGAGTCAAATTTTCATTGCAGTGGGAAGTGGGGGAGATATGATTAAATCTTTAAACGCTGAAATAAACCCGGAATAGTTTCCGAGTTGAGGACTAAGATGGAGCCTGGGGAACAGGACGACCTGAGCTGGCAGGATTTTCACATGAGGGGTTGAGGTAGGAAGAATGGAGACCAGGAGTGATATCTTTTCCTTTTTCTCTCTGTTTCAAACATCCATGTAAATGGAATAAAAAGAGAAAGCAAATAAGAAGCCAGAAAGAAAACAGATGGCTTTCTATAATGGTTTTCATCCAGCTAGAGTCATGATTGACAATAAGGGCCTACAGAAAAGAACCAGAATAATTTTTTCCACATTTTACCCCACATCATGTCCTGTACATTTAAACCTAAACCTGTAGAGTAAACAAATTGCCTGCAAAGAATTCCAGGAATGACTTAGGGAAGCCTCTGTGGTCTGTCTGGGTATGTGCAGCCAGAGAGAAGAACCTGGATGATTCGTTCATTAAAACGGTGCCATATGCATTCGTCGAATCATGTTTCCTGAGTGACTCGAGAGACCAGCTTTCCTCAGGTGCTCTCTGAACTTTCTAGACCAGACTCACACCCCGCTCCGGTCAGCTCACAGTGACAGCAGGCTGTGAGTGTGTACGAAAACACGTAGGGAACAGATACATCGTCTGTCACATGTTAAGGGTTCCCATTTCTCCCTCCAGTGAAGAAATCCCAATTTCCCACAATCCTTCACCTCAGCTTTTCAATTATTAAAATCCTACTGCACTACTTCCTTCTGAATATGTCCTTCACCTCCTTCCTAGCTTTGTCCTTTCTATTCTTCAGATGGATCCAGGGTTCAAGTCCTGAGTATCATTTATTTGGATGAATATGCCCTTTTCACTCATATTTTCAGTCACAGTACCGACCTTTTATACTTATATTTTTAAAATGTAATTACAATTCTGTTCTTTTTATCAAATCAACACAAGGTTATATAAAGTATCTATATTGTACTTCTTATGATTATAAAAATGACCAAAGTAAATAAAATTTGTCTATTAACACACAATGGAAAAACTGCATGAATTATCACTAATTGTGAAGGGAATGTTTAGGATAGTTTGATTTAAAATATAGGTCACATAGCATCCATGAAGTTCAGACTGGGGCAGCTGAATGCGAGGCAGTGTGAGAGGCTCACGTGCTACTGATGAGGGACAATTGCCAAACCTAAGAAGACACTGAGGACAGCCTCAGTCATGAGCTCCCTCCCAATCTAAAGGCCCAGGGGCCAGTGCTCTGAACTGTAGGCTCAGGATCAACCTCACCTAGACGCTACACATAGTCTGCTCTAGAGTGAGTGGGGCAGGACTGTTCTATTTGATGTTGATTTGGGGTCCTCCTGAGCAAACTTGAGTGGACCAGTAAATAATAATAGGAACAATAATAAAGCATTTGTCAGGTGTTTGCTTTCTGTAGGTTGCTAGTAGGCATATGATGCATTGTTTCATTTAATCCTCACAACGACCCTTTGAAGTAGGTGATATTATTATCCCCTTTTCAGGGATGAGGAAATTGAAATTTCTAGAAGTTGAACAAATTATTCCAGCCAATAGGTGGCAGAGCCCGCATTTGAACCTAATGCTAGCCTTCATCCAAAGCCCTTGGTCTTAGACGCCGTGCTTATTTCTAGCAACAATCTTCCATGTTATAGTCACAGCAGTCTCTCATCACTACAGCATGTTGTCTATGTTCTTAAAATGCTGCAAAGCACTTCACCCATGGCTCAAGCCAGTTGGCCTTGGGGATCAGGACCTTCAGGGGGTTTTGAGATACCTGAAGCACCACAGTCCCTGCCTCTGACTCCCGACCTGTGTGGCTCAGGCCATGCTACCCCTCAGCCTCGCCTGGTGTTCTCACTTCCACCTCTCCACCTTCTGCTGAGCTGCTCCTGGAGCCAAGAGGCACTCCAGCTCCGCTGCCAAGTTCTCCTCCTCCTCCTCCTCGCTCTGAGGCAAGCAGCACCCTTCGCTCCTGCCTAGACTTTGCTCAGTGGGAACAAGAGGAGTTTCTTTCTTGCCTCCAAAAACCCCTTTCCCTACCTCCACGTAGCCCTCTCTCAACCTGAAACTTCACCTATGGCTGCTCCAGCCATGCATGCTTAATGTCAATGCTGATTATTTCAGTCCTTTGTGTGTATTGTCAGTCCCTGGTGCTGTAAATGTGGGTGCAGATTTGACAAACATTGATTGCTTGTGCCAGGTGTTATGCTACTATGTGCCAGGCTCTAGATACTGGGGACAATAGTTAATAAAAGCATACAGAAGTCCATCCCTCATTCTAGTGAATACCCCCCTTCCATTTCTGCGTTAGGGTGTACACGCCTGTAGGACCACTCTGTAGATGGACTGCCTCAGTTCACATCCCAGTCTGTCTACTTACAGACTGTGTGACCTGGGCCAAGTTAGTTACCCTCTCTGTGCCTCAGTTTCCTGTAAATTGTGAAACACTAGTAGCATTTCTCTCAAAGTCATGAGAAATAAATAAGTTAATACGGTTAATATAAAGTAGTTAGGATGGTGGCATACTGTAAGTTTTCAATATATGTTCATTACTACAATTTTTTTTAAGTTAATTAAACACCTAGAACACAGGGATCTTCCTTTGCAAGTGTTCTTAAATCTCCTCCACTAGGCTGTACATGTCCAGTGTTCAGTCCCTCTGTGTTTGCCATGCCTGGTACCTCGCTTTCACAGTGTGTGACACGGCCAATCAAAGACAAGTCTGCGTGGACGTCAAAGTGTACCTTGGCCTCCTTCAGAGCAAAACCGGGTTCACCCGAGAGATTGCAGCTTCACGTATGCTCAATGCCTTCTATTGTTTGTGTAAAACACTTACTTTAATTTTTCAAGAAACAAGTCCCAAGGTTATCCCATTAAAAACATCCTCTGCCTCAAAGAGAAAATGACAAGACTCACCTTGATTTTTCAATGGTAAAGGCATAGTTTCCCTGAGTTTGCTTAAAAGGTTTTTCATTTCTCGCATGTCTCTGTAAAATTGATAAAAAAGAAAGAAGAATCAGCTGTAAATTTTCAAAATGAAATCTCAAGACAGTCTGTTCTATGAGACAACTGAAGGATGAGAGTCTGTGCCTAATTGTCCTAGCTCTTGTTTCCAGTAGGCAAATATTGAATTTGTTTTGCCTTTACAAGAAGAAAATGTGAGATGGGTTGGCCCTGAGAAATACTCTGCTGAATGTTTCCACCAGGCGTCTTTCCTGCTGAGCCCTCATCCTGCCTCCTGTCGGGCCTGGCTGAGATCAGAAGAGCCTTTGGTAATGAGGACAGTACGGCAGGTTTACAAGGAGAGGCCAAAGACACACAACTGGAACACCGGGCTCCCCCGGGCAAAGCTGAGGTTGGGAGGGGGTGCTGCAGAGGCTTCCTGGTCCGGTGGCTGCGGTGGCTGTGCAGATTCACTCACTGTTGTGTGCTTGGTTTCAAAAGTCTCTCCCATGGCTGGGCGCCGTGGCTCACACCTGTAATCCTACCACTCTGGGAGGTCGAGGCAGGTGGATCATTTGAGCTCAGGAGATCGAGACCAGCCTGAGCAAGAGCGAGGCCCCATCTCTACTAAAAATAGAAAGAAATTAATTGGCCAACTAAAAATATATAGAAAAAATTAGCCGGGCATGGTGGCACATGCCTATAGTGCCAGCTATTTGGGAGGTTGAGGCAGGAGGATCGCTTGAGCCCAGGAGTTTGAGGTTGCTGTGAGCGAGGCTGACACCACGGCACTCTAGCCCAGGCCAAAAGTGAGACTCTGTCTCAAAAAAACAAACAAACAAACAACAACAAAAAAACCTCTCCTTTTCATGATTGGAAGTCAGCATAACGCAGGTGTTAAGCATTCGCAAGAGCCAACACTAACTACATTGACTTGGAATAGTGGGAGAGGAACAAATGGGAGGGGGACAGCTGGGTCTCCCTCTAACCACTGGCCTGTCCTTCTGAGCTTCCTGGCTGCCCAGTGCGCAGAATGCAAGGCCACCCCCCACATGCAATGTCCTCCCTCATCTCAGAGAATGAAGGATCATAAACCCCCAGAAATGCAGAGCAGGAAGCCAGCTCAGGAGGCGTCCCGTCTAGGGTAGGGGAAGAGCTGGCTTTTTCAAACCCTCTGGACAGTGGTTCCCACACACATCGGGCGGTTGTGCACTGGAAACTGTGCTCTCGAAACCCCAGGACTAGTGCTAGATGTCATTTAAAACAGCAACAAAAGATAATTTGGTGCAAAAAACCCAGATACATCTTTTAGTTAACCTAGATTAGCAGGCACCATGGGTTTAAGAAAGTTTTGGGGAGAAGCTCATCCTAAAGTTGAAGACATTCTATCTACTAATGTATTTTCCTTCTGGCATTTGAGAAAAGAGAGTCACCATTTACTGTTAGGGATGAAACCCCTCAGTGCATTTCACAAACCACCACTGTTCTGTTGAGCACTGTTTGAGGAGTATTGTCTTAGGGTAGTCCAGAAACCCATGGGGCTTCCTGCTCAAGTACTGATGCTGTGGGTACTGCATACTTATAAGGTGAGAGGGGGGAGCGGAAGAAAGGAGGCAGCCCCCCCCCCCCCATCTAGAAGTGCAAGGGTGCAGTCTGTTTTCCCATAAGAGCTCAAGGGCAGGGGGGATGGGCGGGGAAGGGCTAGGAAAGCAACATGTGGGATTGAGGCAAGGTTTCCCTTGGTAAAGCACCAGTTTCCAACCTCAGCTGCTGCCCAGGAGAATCAGGTTATGCCCAGGTCCTACCCCAAGAGAGCCCGATTCTGGTGGCTTATGGTGTGGTCCAGGCATCCATGCTTTTAAGCCCTCCTGGTGACTTAACTATGCAACTATGCAAGAGATGGTTTGACACCCATCTCTTAGGGCAGAGAGCCAGGGAGAACTGAGGCAGCTACATCCAGGACCAGTCTACTGTGCCTACTGCCCTCATGTTTCCAATCTCCTTTGACCAGAATCTGGGCTTTCAGGTTGAACTGAACCATGCCGACACTGTGGGCCGTACTGTCCTGTTCTTACTGCCCTTGATAGCTTGCTTTCTTACAAGCTTACAAGGTTTGGATAGAGCTTCTGTGCAAGGTGTCTGAAAAGGAAAATGACTTTGCCAATGGTTTATGCCCTGATCATGGCATTTCAGCAGATAATTTTTTTTTTCCCGGGAGCAAAGAATTTTCTATTTTATAAATTAAGATAAATCACTTCCTCATCATTTGTCTTTAGTTCTAACAAACTGTGCCAAACAGCTTTATTGTTTGAATTGTTGGATATCCAAGCCTATACAAAATCCAAGTTTTATTAATAGCACATAATTACCACATGCTCCGATTTTCTATAAACACAGAAATTTGGTAATTAGCTTTAGAATTATATTACAATCTGAAAGTAGAACTACAATGGCTATAAATGCCATTGTGTGTTACATTTCTAAAAATAAAAAAATAAAATGTTCATTATCTTGTCAATGACTCAACCTCACACACACAGAACAGCCAGTGGAGTTGCCCGGTAGTCATTCGGCCACTTTGTGCAAACTCTGGGGACATTAGTAGCAAATGGCACGGATAAGTGTGAAGGCCAGTAAACAAGGGCCCCATGTTTCTGCCTCACAGAATGGCATCTCAATGGGACACGGCATTTATTATGATATTATTATTCCCTTTTCCCAAATAAAATAGAATCACTGTAGAATCTCCTTTTCCCATGAAATGAACTCCCTCTCTAGAAGGGAGCTACTGAAGTTGTTAAGACAATGCATTCACTTGCTTTGACCACTAAGGGGCCATCAGCTACATTCTGGAGAGAGTGAGAAGGGGACTCTGTGAAAAGCCCTGTGTGAACTGGACAGAATGCTTGGCCCCCAAACGCCAGCTAAGCAGGCCCTTCCTTACACCTGAAATCCACTTACACCTTTCCTCACATTCCTTACACCTGAATTGACCGGAGGCATCTGTGTGATTTTGGATTCTTCTCCCTTTAAACAAACGGAAATTTTGGGAACCAGCCCAGTGGGTGAACTCTGACAATATGTAAATCCAACTTTCCCCCACTCTTCTCATTTTCCATGGAGACTTGATGTGTTGGAGTGGGCTAAGCAGAGGCCTGGGAGCCAGCGCCTACCGTTGGTGCTGCTACTGTTCCCCCTTTCTCATCTCAGTTTTCTTATCTGCAAATAAAGCAGTCTCTGAGGTTCCTGCCAGCACTCTGCTTCTCTGGCAGACCAAAGGGAGCTCTGTTTCTGAAACTGAAATAGGAAACCTCGACTCTCCGACTCTCTGTGGCCCCAAAGAGCATTAACTGGAGGAGGATCAGCAGTCTATTCAGGGTAACTTCCCACTTACCTTTCAGTGTTCTCGATGTCTGTGGAAACCTGCCAGGAATGTTGCTGACTATCTATGGGGGATGATGAGGAGTCCTCCAGGGCAGGTGTTTCAGCACTCTCCTCAATTTTGCAATCCAAATTCTTGGTTCCCCCGCCAGGTTCCTTTCCTGAGGGAGAGGGGATGTTGGTAAAGAGAAGGGGAACAAAAAATCATAAATGCACATTTTATACCCAGGATGTCACTTGCAGGGTTGGCTATGCTTTGAGTCAAATGCTCCATTAACCCTAATAGCTCTCTGAGCAATAAAATAATTATATATATAATATACTATGTATAGGTATACATTGTGTGTTTGTGTGTAGCATGTTTTCACAACCCTCTGGGAAGTGATAGCTTGAGGCCAGTGCAACCTAAAGATCAAAATGAAATTAAAGGCCCTTGTCTTTGATGGAGGATTGATGCTTTGTAACCCATTCTTAGTGAGTTAGATGAAGTTAGCTTGGGGGTGGGGGGGTGGGGATTTAGCCTGTGAAACCCTGCTGTTGTTTGGTCCTTAGATGCAAAGGCAGGTAAAAGGGCCAGGAGCAGGTGACACCCAGCAGGGAGAATGGGAGCTCCTGCTGTTCTCTCTGATTCTAGACCCTGGCTCTCTCAGCCTGCAGCAGACATTGTACAGCTGCCTTCTAATTCCTTGGCTCTGCGACCTCCTTTAGTGCATCCTTTTGTGAAGAGAGCATGGCGTTAAGATCCAGTCTTACTTTGCTGAGACCATAAAGTGCCATCGACTCAAGTGCAGTGTGAAGGCCTAGTACTGGGCAGCCCTCCACAGCGATGCACTGCCAACCCTCTGAGACTTGTATTTACTACCACTGATTTCAAGCGAATAAATCAGTATGTTCTGAAAGAAATCTCCACGTTGGTTCAGGCATAAATTTCAATGAAATGCAATGGGAGGTTATGGTCCATGACCTGTGTAAACTCTGTTAATGTCTTTTATTCTGTGTTGAAAATCTGTGCACCCATACGGAGGTCTCCTACTACTGTGGGAATGGCTAACAAGGCCTGAGAACTGTGATTTTTGGCTTTGTTATTTGTTCATTCACTCTCTCACTCATTCACTCACTTACAAATAGTTCTTGAGTATCAGCTAAGTACCAAGCACTGGGCTTGATGCTAGAGACAGAGGTGAAGGAAAGATGCAATCTCGGTCTCATGGAGCTTAAAGTGCTGGAGATAGACAATAAAAAAAAATTACACAAATAATTACAAAGCTATGGCATAGCATTATGCAGTCTGGAAAAAAAGGATAGCTACATTGCATCTTTTACTCTTTCATCCAGTTTTATTTTTATTATGTAGATAAAGCTCTAGACTATGTTAAGAAATGGGTACAGCCCATATTATTGAATATTCACGAGGTAGCAGCTATACCACCTTACCTCTTAGTTTCCCTAATCCTCGTATGATTGTTTTGGATTAACAAGAAAACAAATAAACAAGAAATAAAACATACAAACTTGTGAAGAAGATGGCTGTTCATGGTAAAATCTAACAAGAATTTTTTTTCCTTGAATTCATGATCTGTAGGGAACTAGCAAAAATCTCATCCCTACAGTTTCTAACCCATATGGTAGCAACACAAAGAGAAAGAGCAAAGCAATTAATTGGGAACTGTACACCTTATATCAAACTAGAGTAGAAATGGACCTCTAAACATTCAGCCAAAGCACAAACACAAGTTTACTGGTGGGAAATTTTGATCCTTTTCTGTGTTCTTGATGCATGTTGATCCTGGGTGATGAAACTTGCCTGAGGAATTGTTTTTCAATTTTATGGTATGCCTTTGGGTGGAAATTAATTAAGCACATAATTTAGCACATTACCATTTCACAGTTGGAAGGCACTGACCTCTTAAAAGCATTTGCATTTCACCTCCTGGGAGACTGCAGCAAATGCAGTCAGTCCATTTGCACCCACCTCTGGGCAGGGTCAGCCTTAAGGTGTGAATCTGAGCAAGGCAGCTGAGAGTTGGGGGAGGGGCAAAAGAGAGGCACCCCCCAAATGGTCCTTTGATTTCCAAAGCTCTGAAGGATAAGGCCACCTGAAAGCATATGTGGCTCCTGTTACACTACGCTGTGTTGGAAATGCCTTGACAATGGAGTGCGGTTTGGACGGCAAAGAGAAGGAGGCGAAGAATATCCACACATGGATGGAATTCTCTGGTTTATGGGCTTTGCCTGGCTATGGGGCCACAGTATCCCCTGTCCTGTGTTCAGGACTATAGAGCCTTTGATTCCAATGTGGACAGAGGAGACACAACTTCTTGGATTCCTCTTTCCACCTCCCTCATATTACACCTTTTGGGTGCAAAGGCATAGATAGCATCCAGTGGATAACACCTTTCATTACACTTACTGCCTGTGAATATTCTACTACTTATATAAGACATGTAACTTACAAAGTAAAATATCTTTTCAAAGGTATTCCTGAAACACCCCTATAGGCTTTTAATGGCAGGCAATAGCCTCCTTCTCCTTATTCTCAGAGACTTCTAGATGTAACTCTGCTAATGTGGCCAAACCAGAATGAAAACTGGAATGTTGAATCTCAGTTTAGGGCTTCCTGTCAACTCACAAAATCTCTGCAAAAATTTGATATTATATCTTCTCCAGTGGAAATGTTTTAAAAGACAGAAAAGATCAATAAGAATTTCAAGGGGAATTTCAGAGGTTTTCAATTCCAGAACTTATGTGGTGCCAAGTTTATTCTGCAAATGAATCCTAATTGCTCTCATTTATTGATAGCACTGATTTTGTGCTAGCTTTCCCTTCCCATTACATTTCATATTTATTGCCTTCCTAGAACTGTTCACTATCAGAAATGATCTTGCTTATGTATTTGCTTACTAGTTTACTGTTTGCCCTCCCTAGCCCCACCCTCATCTCTCATCTCCAAACTATGTGTGTAAACTCTGTAAGGCCAGGAACTTTATTCATTTTCTTCAATTCTATAAGCCCCGGTACCAAGGACCAGGACGGAGCCTTACACACAGTAGGATTATTAATAGATATAGAGAATTAAAAAAAGTAATCATAGTATGTATGCTGTTATACAACTTGCTTTGCTACTTTGGTATAGCTTAGAAATATTTTCATGTTAGTGCATTTTGATTTATGGGTAGTATTCCATAGTAAGGAATTCAGATCATAATTATTTTCTTTTTTCTATTTTCTACAATATGCCAGTATTTGTATAGGGTAGATCATTTAAGATAGAATACTGGGACAAAGTGTTTGTATCTACATATTATATTTTAATATATATTGCCAAATTGGCCTCTGAAAAGGCGATGCTAATTTACACTTTACTTCCACCAATAGTAAACCAGAGGATGCATTTTCCCACACATTTGCATATGCTTCATATTATCAACATTTAATTTTTGCTAATCTATTGGGGGTGAGTAGAATCTTACTGCACTCTTATTTTTATTTCCTTTATTACTAGTGAGATTAAATTTGTTTTCATGTTAATTGGCCACTTGTGTTTCTTCTTTACTTTTCCTATTCATATCATTTACTCATTTAAACAATGAGTTGTCTTTCTTATTGATTTGTAGGGGTTATCTGTATAAAATGAATAGAGATAATTTGTCTGTTATACATACTGCTTATATCTCTTAGTCTACTATATGTCTTTTAATTTTGTTTATAATGTATTTTGTCACAAGTTAATACTTTGTATAGTCAAGGCTGTTCATATTCTCTTTTATGTCTCTTGGCTTTATGTTTTACCTATATTTTCTTCTAATACACAGTTTTGAAAGGTTCAGCTTTATAGTTTATCTGTAATTTAATTTTGCATATGGTGTGATATAGGAATCTAAATTTTTAGCTCAAATGAAGAGCCAATTGCCCCAACAACATTTATTGACTTTTCTATTGACTTTCTTGCCCTCTCCCTCTCCTCTCCCTCCCCTCTCCCTCCTCCGTCTCCCTCCTCCTCTCCTTCCTCCCTCTCCTCCTCCTCTCCTCTCCTCTCCTCTCCTCCCCTTCCTCCCCTCCCCTCCTCCTCTCCCTCTCCTCCCTCCTCCCCTCCCCTCCTCTCCCTCTCCTCTCCCTCTCCCTTCCCTCTCCCTCTCACCTCCCTCTCCTCTCCCCTCTCCTCCCTCCCCTCCTCTCTCTCCTCTCCTCCTCCTCTCTCCCTCTCCCTCTGCCCTCTCTCCTCCTGCCCTTCTCCTCTCCCTCTCCTCCTCTCCTCTCCCTCTCCTCCTCTCCTCCCTCTCCTCCTCCCTCTCCCTCTCCCTCTCCCTCTCCCTCTCCTCTCTTTCCTTCTTTTTTTCTTTTTGCGATTTGGGATTGGGCTGCCCCATCTGATGCAGCTGATCTTGCTCTTTCTAATATATTAAATTCCCATATAAATGTGGATCTAATTCTGGATACACTATTGTATTTTATATTTATTTATTTGTTGATCCTGTGCCAATTCCATGATATTTTAATTATTATGGTTTTAATATTTGGTAGGGAATGTCTTCTTTATTATTCTTTTTCAGAAATTTTTGAATCCACTGCAAGTGAAAATATAAACTACCATCTGGGACTCGGACCTTTAATAAGGATGAATCATTGATTACTTTTCAGTATTGTCTAGGTTTAATGGTTTATTTAAAATATTTGCTCTTTTGAGTTAATTTTGATAATTCATTTGTCCTATAAAACCATCCACAAAAATACTTTTTTTTTTTTTTGAGACAGAGTCTCGCTTTGTTGCCCAGGCTAGAGTGAGTGCCATGACGTCAGCCTAGCTCACAGCAACCTCAAACTCCGGGCCAAGCGATCCTCCCTGCCTCAGCCTCCCGAGTAGCTGGGGACTACCAGGCATGTGCCACCATGCCCAACTATTTTTCCATATATATAGTTGGCCAATTAATTCTTTCTATTTATAGTAGAGATGGGGTCTCGCTCTTGCTCAGGCTGGTTTCGAACTCCTGACCTCGAGCAATCAGCCCACCTCGGCCTCCCAGAGTGCTAGGAATACAGGTGTGAGCCACTGCGCCTGGCCAATACGTTTTGTTTAAAATAAACAATTTAAACTAGTAGGGACGCCAAATATATTTTTAATGGTATAAGGTTGAATATGGTTTTCTCTTGTAACTGTTTCATA